CGTCTCTCTCTCTCTCTCTCTCTCTCTCTCTCTCTCTCTCTCTCTCTCTCTCTCTCTCTCTCTCTCTCTCTCTCTCTCTCTCTCTCTCTCTCTCTCTCTCGGGTCTCTTCACGCGGTCTCATGCGCGCGTGCGGCACTGATAAAGTTATCAGGTCGAGGGAGAGTCTGAGTCCTTTTACGTCGAAGAATGCGCGCTCGTTCACGATCCAATCTCTATGGAATATCGGAATATCGAGATGTTCTCGCACGATCCTTCATCGTTCTCCGTTCTCGCGAAGCGGAAATGAATTTTAGAAAATCCGCGAAAGGCTTTGTAACTTCCCCACGAAGAATTAGCATTTGATGCGCGATCGATCGGAGAAATACCCGTTGAAAAATTCCTCGCGACGATCCGATCAGTCGCGATTTGTCGAAATTACGCCATTACGATAACCAGATGCTTTTGAATCGATCTGAGAGAAAAAAAAAAAAGAATGTGAAGAGAACGGAGAAACATGAACTCGCCGCAAGGTCCATTGAATATTGATACTCGCGCGTGGATTCTCATATCGCCAAGTCTCATATCACATGCCGCACGCGTCTCGCGCAACAAAGTGCACAAGTCTATATCCGTTCTTCTCTTACCAACTGGAAAGCTCAAGATTATCATCCACGAATATTGGTAGCTGCAGCTTATTTTTCGATAACAGCCCCGTTTTCTCCGTACGAGCGCTATTCAGACAGTCACGAGATATCAGACACTGCTGATAAACGGATAATCGTCGATAACATTCTCGGGGGGAAAAAAATGTCCAGATTTTCGATTTAAGTGGCCGTTTGTACCAATAGGACGCTCTTAGAGATAGTTTAAAGATACGATACACTAACGTACACGCACACACAGATCTCTTTTTCGTGACTCATAATCCTCTCGGATCATCCGTGGCGCATTATAATCAGTCAAGCGAACATTACTCACTGGACGTCGCAGTCTCCGATCATCTAAGCTTCGTGAGATATCAACGCGTCACATTGAAGCGATCACTGGCTTATTCCCCGTTCGCGACAGACGTTACGAGAAGATACGAGGCTCCGTAGGCTCCTGTATCATCGAGAGAACTCGAGGGACGGGCGGACGAAACGAACGAGTGAGCGAGCGAACGACGAACGAACTCATGAATGCTGATGTAACGCACGCGCACGATCGGCCGGCTGCGTCGCATCTTCGAGATACTCCCGCACGCACGACAAGACACGACGCGACACGATGCACGTCTCGCGCGCAACTGAACGGCCGTGTCGGTCGCTTCGTCGAGCTTCGGTCATTTCCGCAACGCGGTGGGGGTTTCGATCTCGTCGCATCTTCCTCTGCGGCACGACGAGCACCCGTTTCGTTCTCTCTCTTTCTTTCTCTCTCTCCCCCTCCCTCGTGGTCCTACCACTTCACTCG